CCAGAGGAGGATCCAGCTTCTCTAGAACCCGGGAGTCTGGGTGGGCACACACCTCAGGGCCGGGATGCAGCAGAGCAGGGGACTGGGCTGGACCGGAGTGCAGAGCGGAGTCGGGGTGCAGGATGGACCTGGGCGGGTCGCCTGCCCTTTCTGCTCCCCAACTTCCCTGTGTGTAGAATGGGACACGGGTCTTTCTGAGAGCTCAGGGGGATGGTGGAGGTGTATTCTGTTGACTTATTTTTTATCTTCTGCCTGGCCCATCACCCCCATTGGGGACGCCTCACAGGGGTAAATAACGGACTCAGTAACTGGCCGGACACCGGGACAGCGTGGTGGGCTCATTTCCACCAAAGGGCGAGGCAGACACAGCCCTTCTCTCGGGTCAAACCTGGTACTGGCACCTCTGAGCAGACCCAGCCAGGCCCGGCCCTTCTCTGCCAGCCTCCCTGAGATGGATGCAGGAGAACCGAGGGAAGCGGAGCCTTTCCTTCCAGACAGCAACGCCTCCCATCAGCCCCGCATTACCAGAAGGCATTTAATTAGGTGTCTGGTTCATAAAGAAATGTACAGAATGATCCTGTTCTCACCATAAAGTGACGTTTTTACTTTCCCCGGATGAGCCGTTAGCGACCAGGTAACCCGGTGGGAGAGGAAAAGCCACCGGTTCAGGGTCCCAGCGAGGAGGTGGCAGAATGCAGCGGTGCCCCTGGCACCCGTGCTGGGCCCAGCAACTCGGCAGGTAATCACGAGTGATTGAACCACACACACATTCACGCACACACTCACACACACACACACACACACACACACTCACACACACACTCACACACACACACACACACTCACACACACTCACATATACACACTCACACACACTCTCACACACACTCACAAACACTCACACAAACACACACACACTCACACACACACACTCACACACACTCACACACACACACACACACACTCACACACACACACACACTCACACACACACACACACTCTCACACACACACTCACACACACTCTCACACACACTCACAAACACACTCACATAAACACACACTCACACACACACACACTCACACACACTCACACACACTCTCACACACACTCACAAATACACTCACACACACACACACTCTCACACACACACACACTCACACACACTCACAAACACACTCACAAACACACTCACACACTCACACACACACTCACACACACACACACACACACACACACTCACACACACTCACACACACACACACACTCACACACTCACACACACACTCACACACACACACTCACACACTCACACACACTCACACACACATCACACACACACACTCACACACACACACACACTCACACACACACACTCACACACTCACACACACTCACACACACACATTCACACACACACACTCACACACTCACACACACTCACACACACACATTCACACACACTCACACTCACACACACACACACACACACACACAGATTAGCGTCGCGGACAGAAGGGGCTCCTAACGCAGTGGACGGCGGAGGCTTAGAAATGAAGGGGCCTCTCCCTCTCCGCGGCGCGGACTCCGCGTTAGAAACCCGCCAGGACCGGCCCTGCGCCCGCTCAGCCCTCCGCCTTGGGCTGCGCTTCGGTGCTGAGGCCGAGGCTGGGCATTCGGCGAAGGTTCCAGGACCTCCAGGGCCCCGCAGCCCAGGCCGGTGGGCCAGGCGGCCTCGGCGAAGTCGGAGGCTGCACTGCGAGGCCTCTCCCCGGAGCGCCTGGCCGGTGGCCGCCCGCGCAGCCCCGGCCCGGCCGCCGGCACCGCTCAGCCGGCGGCCCAGGGGGCCCGGCCAGGGGCGCGTCCTTCGGCCGCGGGTCCGAGCGAAGTGCTGCAGCTCCAGCCGCTCCCAAGCAGGCCAGGCGGGCGAGGTGGCCTGCCCAGGGGCGCAGCAGGGCCTTCGGGTCTCCCCGCTGAGCCGCGGCGGCCGCGGCTAAGTCTCCCAGCTCCCTCCTGCACGGAGGCCGCTATCGGGCCGGGAGGCAAGCCCTGCTGCTTCCCCTCGGACCTCGGAGGAGCCCGAGACCGCCCAAGCTGGGGCGGGAAGTCCCTCTGTCCACCGAGACCCACGGGCCCTGCAGCCCTCACCAGGCAAGGCCCCCCTGTCCTCCCAGGTGCTACGGAGCGCAGGTTTGGAGGCGAGAGCTAACTTTCCAGAGCATTAGTTCCTCCAACTGCAAACTGGGGAGGAGCATCCCGACCCGGTGGAGGGTGTTCGGGCGTGCGAGGCGCCTGGTTCCGGCGGTTCTGCACGGGGAGAGGCGGACAGGGACGGGGAGTGATCCCCACGCGCTGGAAGCGGGTGCCGGCCTGTCTGTCTGTCTCTGTTAGGCCAGATCCCCTTGCACCCCCAACTCCGCCCTCCGCCGGCTGCGGAGGCTCCAGGGGAGCTGCACGGGGCCTGGCTCTGGTCCCGGCCAGGCAGCTCCCAGCCTCTGCCCGCTCCGGGCCGGCCTCCGCACCTGCGGGCGGCCCACCGGAGGGCCCGCCCCGCCAGCCCTCCGGGGCCAAGGCACTGCCTCTGGCCCCCCCGTCCCGCGCCTGTGAAATGGGCCCGGCCCTGGCTTTCCCGGCGCTGGAAGGAGGCGAGGGCGGCTGGGGAGGGCGGCGAGGCGGTGTCTCCAGCTCTGGCCGAGGCCCCGGGCTTCTGGCCCGCGGACACTCTCAGGTCTCCGGAGCCTCGGCCGCGACCCCAGGCCAAACTGGACCCTGATGGTGGGTGGGGATCGCGAGGGAGGAGCCAGGAGGGCCTCCCGGCCTCTTCTGGCTCTTTCCCTGGAGCTCAGCCTTGGGGGCCCTGCCAGACCCAGACGTGTCCGCGCCCAGACCCTGCCTCACTGCCCTCCTGACCCGGGACTGGCAGCCGCGCCCCTCCCGGCGCAGCCACAGAGCAAACGGGAGCTCGGGCTTTCCCGGAGGGTGTGGGGTTAGGCTCTAAACACCCCGAGGCGCTCAGCAATCGCTCCCACCCGCTGGGGGCGCCCATGGCTCTGGGGAGGCAGGAGTGGGGACTCAGTCCCCGAACTCCTAGCCCGTCTCAAGCCCAGGAGGGGCAAAGCGCTGAGAGAGGGGTGGGGGGAGCCCGGGCCATCCAGGGCCACATCCCTGGGCCTGTCCCACCCACAGCGAACTTTGCCACCAGAGACCTTTGGCTCAAAGCAAGGCAGCGGAGAGAAAGAAACATGAGCGCACGGGTCTCCCCAAAGGCCCAAGAACCGAGGTTTGCCCCGGCAGAACCACAACAATAATTTAGAAAAAAACAAAGTCCACTTGAACCACAAAAATAATTCAGAAAAACAAAGCCCACTCAGCTTATTATTATTCTGGAGAAACGGAATCGGAGCGAAGGAAATTGGAGAGGTGACAGCAGTCCCGGGGAAGGGGCTGGGTGGACAGAAAAGGCAAAGAAGGCAGCTCTGGTTCTTAGATGCTCAGACCCACCCCAGGGCCACCCTCAGCATCATGGTCAGGAAAACACCCACAGAAGAGGCACGCAGCTCTGGACACCCCAGGCCCTCTCTGGGGTGTCCGGTGCCCCCGTTTGGGGCTCAGTAGGGTTTGGAGGTGAAGGGGAGGGGGGTGGACAGGCAGGCCGGTAGCTCCAGCTCTTTCTTAGCCTCCCTCGCCCTTCCTCCAGCCAGGCCATCGCAGGAACCCCGCTGTCCGTGTACAACGAAGGGGCGCCAACCCCGTAATCACGGGTGGCTCCTGGCCTGGGGGAGGTGGGGGAGGTGGGCAGGTGGCAGAGGAGGAGGGTGGGACTGCTACAGGGCCTCGGGACAGCGCCCCAGGGGTTTAGTCTCAGGGAGTTCCTGGGACGAAAGGAGTGGGAGAGAGAGAGAGAGGCAAAGAGATCCTTAGGGGCAAGAAAGAAAACAAAAAGAACAATAAAGAGGAGATGTGGAAAGTGAAACATAGAGAGACACAGGCCGTGGGGCGAGAGGGAGGGAGAGAAAGAGAGGACAGGACAAAGAGTTTGAGAAGCTAAAAGCAACAGAGGACCAACTATGCAGAGAAGCAAAACTGTCAAGAAAAGGAAAAAGATACAGTCACCCAGCAAGCAGGAGGAAATAGAGAAACAGGCCGGACACTGTAAGAAAAGTTTTTTAAAAGACCGAGAGGGAGGGTGATAAAAGGAAAAAGCAGGAGGAAATGAATGTTCACTGACCCTTGGTGCGTGCTTGTCGGTGTGGGAAGGGGTCTCCTTGCTGCCAACCCCGAGATCCCCAAACTTCCTGCATTTGAGCCCAGGAAAAGCTGGGGGGGGGGGCAGCCCCACGTTTTCACACCTGGGCTCAGGGTGCAGGGCCTTCCTGGCGCCCCCCGCCCCCTCGTGTCCGCAGAGGCTGCAGTGATGTCACACGACGTCACACGCTACCTGTGGCCCCACGCAAGCTGAGAGCGCTGGTGGGAATCGAACCCAGAGCCGGGATGCGCTCCGGACCCTCTGCGCGCAGCCCTCCCTTCCTCCGCACTGCACCCAGGTCCCCGCAGCCTGCGTGGGTCGGGCCCTCGCCTCTGAGAGGTTTTACCGGGAAGGGCGGGGACTGGAGTGGGTTGTGGGCTGGGGTTGGGGAGGCCCCGAGCTGCCGGACACTGGGGGTCACCGTGCCCACCGCCCTCCGCGGGGATCTGGCCTGGAGCGGCCTTCGCTCCCCGCTCTGGCGCCAGCCAGACCTCCGGGCCGAGAGGGCCCTTCCCACGCGCACCCCGTCCCGCGGGCACCAGGCCGAGGCGGCCGGCACGCACTGACCTGCACCGGGGCCTCCGCGGGGCCCGAGCCGGGTTCGAGCGGAGCGGATGCGGACGGACGAGCCTCGGAGAAGCGGCCTCGCCCGCGCAGCGCGCCTGGGCCGCCTCCGCCGCAGGAGTGGGGCGCAGGCCGGGGGTCGCCGGACGGGCGTTATTGGAACGAAAACGAAATAAGAGCGGCGTTAAGTGAAATAGCTAACTTTCTTTTATTAAATAAACGACTTAAATAAAAGGACGGAGAGGAGCGGACCCTGCCTGAGCGCAGGGCTACCCCAGGCCCTGGCGCTTCCCCCACCACCCGGCGGCCGCCCCTCCTCCAGCGGCCCCGCCGGCTTCAAAAAAAAAAAAAAAAAAAAAAAAAAGCGGAAACTTTTATTATGTACACGTTTGGGCAAAAGTACAAAGTATAATACAGGCGCCCGGCCCGGGGTGCGGCTGGGGCGGAGGAACGTAAGGCGCTTTCTTTGTCAGCCCGGCCCGGGGGACGGGGCGCGGGGCGGGGGCGGATTGTGCGGCCGCGCGGAGCCCGGGCCCGGCCCCCTCCGCGGCGGCAGGCGGCGGCTGCGCCCCGGGGCCTCCTCCTCGAGCTCGGCGGCCCCTTCCCGTCCGGTCTCGGCCCGGCTCCCCCCAGCCCGGCTGGGGCCCAGGCGCCCCACTGCGTGGGGGTGGCGATGCTTGGCGAGGTGCGCGCGGGGCGCTCACACCAGCGAGGTGACGGCGGGCACCTTGGCGCCGTCCTCCTCCCAGGGCTGCAGGTTCTGCAGCGCGAACAGCGACGAGTTGTGCAGACACAGCGGGTCGGGCTGGATGGAGTCGCTGAGGCTCTTTTGGAAGGCGTCGTGCTGCAGCTGCAGCATGAGCCGGCTGGCCTGCTGCCGCTCCGCCTCCCGCTCCTCCGCCGTCTGCCGCCTGCGCCGGGGAGGGAGGGAGGCCGTCAGGCCCCGGCCCAGCGGGCTCAGCCCTCCGAGGAGGGAGCCACGCCCGCCGGGGCCCCGGGGCGCTCAGCCCGCTGCCTCCCGCCCGCGCCGCGTGGGGAGGCCGGAGGCTGGAGCCCGGGGAGCGGGGCCAGTGGTTTTGTGTGTTTGCCGCGCGCCCCGCCATCGCGGCCAGGGACCTCCGCCCGCCGCCCCCCTGCGCGCCCGGGAAGGCGGCCTCGCCAGCCGCAAAGCTCGGCTCCTCGGCGGGAGGGACCCGAGCGCAGCAGCCGCGGGGGAGCCGCCCGGCCCGGCGCGCCGCCGGTCACCGGGCTCCCGGGCGGGCGGGCTGGCTGGGCACCGCCCGCGCGGGGTCTCCGGGCGCGGCCGGCCTCCTCCGGTTCTCCCGGGCCCGCCGCGGACCCCTCCTCCAGGACCGCTTCGCTGTTGGCGGGTTGGATGGAAACAGGGACACACGGATACACGCAGGGCTGGAGTCGGGTCAGAGGAACCCAGAACTCGCGCGGATGGTGGGAAATTCGAGAGGACCAGCGGCGGGGGAGGGGGGGGGTCCCCGAAGAGCAGTGCGGGAGGACCCCGGGGTGCTGGGAGAGGTGCTGGGAGAGGTGCTGGGAGAGGCAGGTGGGAGGAAGGAGACGAAATAAAATGGAAGGGATGGGAGAGGCGCAGGAATGGCCACGGAGGAGAAGCGGGGCGCGGGCGGGGAGAGGGGAGGGGAGGTGGGCCGGCGGGAAGGAGGGCCGGAGGGGGGTTAAAATCCGGGAAGGCGAGTTGGGGGGTACGGGGAGGCGCGGCCGGGCTGGGGGCTGGGGGCTGGGGCAGCGCGGGGCGGAGGCCGCAGCGCGGGGAGGGCGCGAGGCGGGCGCAGGGGGGGCCGGGCCGGGCCGCGCTCACCGCCACTTGGTCCTCCGGTTCTGGAACCAGGTCTTGACCTGCGCGTCCGTCATCTTGAGGGACTTGGCGAGCGCCGCCCTCTCGGCCGAGGCCAGGTACTTCTGGCGGTGGAAGCGCTTCTCCAGCTCGCAGATCTGCACGCGCGAGAAGGACGTGCGCGGCTTCTTGCGCTTGGGCGGCGTGCGGTTCTGGTAGGGGTGGCCGATGCGCCGGGTCACCGTGAAGGGCGTGAGCGCCGCCGCGGCTGCGGAGACACACGCGGCCCCTGAGGCCCGGCCTCGGCCCACGGCCGTTCAGGCCCCCGAGGACCCCGTGCCGCCGCCGCGGCGCAGGGCGCTCCGCTAGCTCCTTGGCACCAGCCGCTTGGGAGCTGCCCCCTGTCCCCCGGGCGCAGGCTGATCTCCCCGAACCCCCCGATCTCCCTCCCCCAGCGGCTGGCTGCCCGGGGCCCTGGGCGCCGAGGCCTCCGCCGCGCTCGGGCCTCCGGAGTCGCTTCTTTCCGGAGCCGAGCGCGCAGGGCGCGGGCCCGCCGCCCGCCCGGGAGGAGGCCGGAGGCCGGGGCCCGCCCCGCGCCCGCTCACCTGTGAAGCGGTCCTTCACGAAGCGGCGGCTGCTCTCCATCCACGGGAAGTTGAGGCCGCCCAGGCTGGAGACGGCGGGCACGGAGGGCATGGCGGGCAGCGCGCTGGGCAGGGGCGGCGGCACGGCGCCGGGCAGCGGCCTGTGCGCCGGCACCCGGATCACGCCGGCGGGCGCCAGGCTCAGGTTGACGCTGTAGGAGCCCGCGTCCTCGAAGGGTGCGCCGAGGCCCGCGAAGGAAGCGGGCAGCGAGGGGTACGCGGCGCCGGGCCGGCCCCCGGGGGGCGCGCCCAGGTAGCCGGCGCCGTCGGGGCCCCGCGGGGCCGGCGCGCTGTCCTGGTCCGGGCCGTTGAGGATCTGGTCGATGCCGAAGCTGATGGGCTCGTGTGGGTGCGGGGTCTGCGCGCCGGCGGGCGCCTCCATCCCGGGCGGGCGGCGGGGCTGCGCGGGGCCGGGCGGGGAGGCGGCTGCTGGGGCCCCGTCACGCCGCGGCCATGGAGCGCCCGGCGCCTCTCGCCGCACTGAAACTTTGCCAAGAGTGCGCGGGCCCGGCAGGCTCTGTGTCATCTTTCTTGAACCGAACCCGGAGTTTCCGCTGCTCATGCCTCTCCCGCCGCAGCCATTGGCTGCGATCAACAAGCCTCTCCCCTCCCATTGGCTCCCGGCGTTCAATAAAGGCCTAATTCATGGAAATGGGAGCTTAGGGACTGTTCCAAGGTGACATCATTTTAACAAACGAACAATAGGTCAAATTTATTAGCCGGGGATAATGGGCGGCGGATATGAGCGCCCGAACCGCAGCCTCCCCGAACCCGAAATCTAACGGCGCTGCAATTAGCAGACGCTCCCCGCGCCTCCGGGCGGGCCGCTCCCCGCCGCCGCGCTCTCCTGGTGCAATCCTCCTTTTTCCGAGGGGGTTTTCGTTTTCTTCCAAAAAATTTTTTTTTCCGTCTGAGCAAAAACCAAACCCTACGAATCCTTCCCGTGGCAATGGAGCTGCAACCCCGGGACGGCCCTGCAGCTCCGCGGAAGCTTCTCGGACCCTCCCTCCAGCGCCGCCGCGGGAGCAACGAAAGGGGCGCGCCCCGGGGTGCCAGCCCCGCGCCCCCTGCGCGCGCGGGGGGACGCGAGCACCACGGCGCGCCCCACGCTTCCGAGGACCGACCCGCGTGGGCGGAATTCGCCCCCCGCCCGGGCTTCGGCCGCGGCGCCGCGGCCACTTTGGAGACACTCCCTGGTCCCGCCGGGCGCACCGCCGAGTGATTCACAGGTGCCCACGCGCGCCGGGCCCGGCCGGGCGAGGGACCCGGGGCCGCCCGGAGGGGAGCGGGGACCCGGACCCTCGAAATTCGTTGCAAGATGGTCGGGCTGCTGGTCGCGTGTGGGGACCCGCCCGTGGCGCAGCAGGTGTGGGGGCCTAGGGCTCCCCAGGGCCAAGGGCGGGGTGGCTAACATTTAGGGCGAATAGCGGGGTTTTGGGGGGTAGGGCAGCGGTGGACTCCTCTCGCTCCAGTGCGGTCCGGGCGCCGGAACCACTCCCAGCTTTGCTCCCTCCCTGGGGGCCTGAGGGGCAGGCTGAGGGGCTCGGTGGACAGCCCCAACTGTCTCCCCTGGGGGGGCCCCTGCAGAATCGCTCCCCACCCGCTAGTTCCTAAATGGCTGGGTGCGAGCTCACTGCTGCACCGCGGCCAGGCCTCTCCCTGGCGCTCCCTTTTTCGGACTCGGGGAGAGGTCGGATGTGCGCTTGGCCAGGAGTGAGTTTAAGTCCGGGCCGGCCACTTCCGAGCTGAGCGACCTTGAACAGGTGCCTCCGCGCCTTCCTTCCGGCTTTGGTTTTCTCATTTGTGGAAAGAGCGATGTGCGCATTGCTTTGCGGGTTTGTCTGAGCCGGAGCGAGGCGCTGAGAGCGCAGGGCTGGGCCTGGCTGGCACACAGTAGGCACCCAGCCAGCAGCTGTGCCTGCCCTCCGGTCTCCCTGCTCCCCCCCACCCCCCCGCGTGATGGCTGATGGATGGTGCTTAGGATCCTTGTTTATTTGTTTGCAGTTTTGTTTGGTTTGCGGAAGCGCAGCCTCTCGGGGAAAAGGATGGTTTTGTCTCCAGTGGGGCCGGTCTCAGAGGATCAGGAGGGCAGGAGGCAGCCTGTGGGGGACTCATCCTAATCATGGGCCTGGACAAAGGGGAGGCCTCGGGATTTCATCTGCAGGCCCAGGTCCCTGAGGCAGGGCGCCCCTGGCTAAGTCGCTAACCCTGGAACCTCAGTATTGGGGGGGAGGGGGGAAGAGGGAAGCGCAGGCAGCATGGGGTGGGCCCCTGCCACTCCCCCCAGGGACAGGCACCTTCAGATGGCGGATAAGTCCTTGCTCCAGGCCGGCATCCTGCTTCTAATCTGGGCTCTGCCTCTGGTGGTCTGGTGGGCTTGGGGGGGGGGGCTGTTTGGTCCCTCATTGCCCCTCCCGGAGCCTCATTTTCCTCATTTGTGAAACGGAAAGGGTAAGCTAACCCCAGGGCGGCTGTGAGAAGTAAATGAGATGGAGCGGGCGGGTAGATAATAATAACTTCGATGACAGCAGCCCGGCTGCCTGAGGTGGAGAACTCGGTGCATGCCAGGCAGGAAGTGGCACTTGCTTGTTCCTTAGGAGAGGCCTGTGAGGAAGGGACTATTGTGGACCCCACTTTTCACCCAATGAGGGAGCTGAGGGTCAGAGAGCTCCGGGGACCTCGCCAGTTCCACGGCCCTCCTGCCTTCCGGGGGTCCAGGCCCGTCCCTGCCGCTTCCCAGTCTGTTCCATTGGGACAGGGAGGCCCGCCCGCAGGTGTGTGGGCACAGAATTCAGGAGGAGCCGTGGGTGGGGTGGACAACGCTGCTCCCAGGGCATGGAGAGGAGCCCAGTGCTCAAGAATTGGATTCCCGCCTCTGTTTACCAGCTGTGGGCTCAGGGGATTACCCATCCTTTGTGCCTCAGTTTACCCACCTGGTAAAGCAACAGGACCACATCATGGGATTCCGTGAGCTCTTCCGGTGAACGCATTCAGCACAGTGCCTGGCAGGAGAGGGCCGACTTCCTGAGGCCTGGGGTATGGGTCAGGCGGCAGTAGGCCCTTGGGCCAATGGCCACACACCCTCTCCTTTCTGATCCGGACAGAGCAGAGGTGCCAGGATGGGGAGTGAACGGGGCAGCCATCATCCCTGGGACAGTGGTTCTCAGTGTGTGTTCCTGGACCAGCGGCAGCCTCACCTGGGAATTGGTTAGACGGGCAGGTCCTTGGGGCCCAGCCCAGACTCCCTGGGTCAGAAGTCGGGGTTGGGCTCAGCAATGGTTTTAACAAGCCCCCGGTGATTCGGTGCACATTCTAACTGGAAGCCAGTGCCACAGCCCTGTCCGACCCACCCCAGTTTTCAGGTGCATGAAACGCCGTGGACATATTCTCTCGTCGTTTGAAACTCTCACGTGGATCTGAGTTCAGTTCTGCATTTCTGTCTCAGTGTTCCTCAGTGGGCCTTTTGATCTTATCTGTCAAAGGTCTGTCTATTTTATTGGTCTTAAAGGACATTTGTTTCATTGTTGTTGTTTTTTAATGTTTCAGGAATGTTTTGATTTTTTATTAATTTCTTATCTGTTGAAGTAAAATTTAGTTCATTTAAAAAGTCTTTGTATTTTTAAATAAACATACTTAAAAAAATAAATTTACCTCTGAGCAGTATTTGGCCAAATATTCTTCAATGCATACTAGGTGTTCCTGAGATTGTAATTTTGCTGTCCCTGCTTGCCTGCTATCAACTGGCCACACACACAAACGTGAAAAATTAAATTCTAAGAACTGGGGCCAGGTCTCCTGACTCCAGAAGGACTTCTGGGACGCAGTGCATTCTCTATGCTTCCCAGGCAGACGCTGGAGGAGGGACAGAGCTGGTGGAGCCCTGGCTGGGAGTCAGACCGGAGGGGGAAGCTTGGGAATGAAAGGCAGATGCTGGGATTGCCAGCTGTGCACATGGCATGTGCAGGAGGCTTGCTGCCCTTGACTTCCGGTGTGACTTTACTCAATTTCCCTGCTGGTAAAATGGGGTAGAGGTTGAGTCAGGGTTCTTAAAAGAATTTGGATCTGCAACCCTATTTGAAAGATTGATGAAAAATTTATGGACAACTTTCCAAGACAAAGACACAAGCACAGGACTCCGTGCCCATGCCATGTCACCTGCCCCCTTCGGTTCTTGACTCACACACCCTGGTTAGGAGCCTCAGGGGCCCTCGCAGTTCCCACGATGGAAAGCTCTAGACACCTGCCGACATTTATCTCCGATTCATTCATTTATTCAACAGATATTGATCACTGAGCACCTATTCAAATTTTCTGAACCACACCTGAACGCTGGGCCTCGGTGGTTTTCCCATCTGAGAGTGGAGTTAATGAGTCAGGGCCTCGCAGTTGGGAAGGCTGGAGCTGGGACCTGACCTCAGGACGGTCAGGTCTGCAAAGCCCATGCTTTTTCCTTTGTGTCTTCTCCCCATTTCCCCTGTGGGAAGGAAATCCGTGGAGAGTCTGGGCGAAGGAGCCAGGAGTGGGGTGAAGCTGGCCATGGGACTCACTTGTCCCCCGCACTGGCCTGGAGTCCCTTCCCAGTGGGACAGTGTTGGCGGCATTTGGTTCCGTCTCCTGGGCTGGGCCCAGGCCTGACCCACTGGAGGATCACTAGGGGTCTGTGGTGTTAAACCAAAGAGCGCACAGCAGGTCAGCCGAGGGGAGAAAGGGGAGAAGAAAAGGGTCCCACGTGTGTCCGTGTGTCCAGGAATTCACCTGTCCTCAGCCCAACACTCACTGCCCCCTCCCACCCCCCAGCTCCATGGAGGGGTCTTTCCTCAGCCAAGACCCAGGTCAGCCATGGCCTCTCTGCCCATCCTCCCCAGCCGCTCCTCCCCCCCACCCCCATCCCTGTGGGTTCCCATCCTTGCTCTCGTGGCCTTTGGGACCTAGATCTTATGTATCCTGCTCACCAGCTCTCGGAGGGCAGAGCCTTTGTCTCAGTCACGTTTTCTCAGTGACAGGTGAGTGAGTGAACGAATGGTTCCCAGGATCCTGGTGCTGAGTCAGACCGGCCTGGCCTTGAGGGTACAACCTGGCAGGGAGGTGGGCAGCTGCCTGGGGAGCTGGCCTTGGGCTGGGGCTGCAGAGGGTGTAAGAGGAGAAGCTGAGGGGAGGAGAACCCTCTCCCTGTGGGCCAGGCTGGTGGGGATGCAGAGGGCTGTGAGTGGGGACCCCAGCAGGAAGCAGTGTGTGCAGGCGGCCCAGATTGGTCGGGGCATGGAGCAGGCTGTGCCATGGGCCTCCAGACCCATCTCGTGCCCGCTGTTTGCCCCCCCACCCAGCAGCCATTTTCCCGCTTCGCGGTCTACAACTTCCCTCTCTCCCTGACAGATTTCTCTACTAAATTTGACTTCGTTTCAACACTTTCGTTGGGCAAATTACATTAAGATGGATGTTGCAGGTACCCTTTATGGTTTATTTATCGCGATACTGTTTGTATCTCACGCTTATAAATAACTTATGTTATAGCTTTTGTTTGTGGAAATGTAACTTACATATTTTATTACGCTTTCTGTAAACCTCAGAAAGAATCCTGTCAGGGAAGCGCTCATATCAGC